AATAAATTGCATGTCAGCTTTCTGATCTGATAATGTCTCAGTAAATTTGGTAGAAACAGAGTGTATTTACAGAATTGAGTCAGCACAATGTTGGTTGCGATATGTTCCTAATACCAGCATCGGAATTTTAAAATTTTATAAACCTTTAAAAAAAAATTTCTTAAATAAAGAATATAAAAGCTGTCCTAATATTTTGAAAATTTTTTTCAATAATGAATAGAGGTATATTTACAAATGATTCCACATGTAGGAAATCTACTACATGCTGTTAATGTGTAGTTGCAATCAGAAGAATCTTAACAAAGATTCACAAAATTATGCTGCAGATGTGTTCATCTTTACAGTTAAAAATTGACAATAAATTTTATGGCGCCATTGCTAAAACTTAATTATATTTTATTTGAGATTTAAATAATATAACTAAATGTTTACCGTCGTTATGAGATATTTATAAAATTCCTAGCATGACATATTATATATTTGTTTAACCATTAGCTCGGCCTCTAATTTTGTTAAAGCAATCCGATTTCTCTCCTTTTTTCAGGCAGTCCTTATCAGGCTAAAAATGCGCTCGGATGAGGCATTAGAATAAGGTAAGGAGAAGTCATACTCACATATTTTTTCCAAGCATGGAGATTTATCGTTATTACGAAAAAATTCTACCCATTTCTCCTCTGCCTTTAGGCCATCTAACTAAATATTCTGGCGTATCATAAAAAATAGAGAGAATTACAATCTCCTCAAACAAGAAATCAATGTCTTTCGGTATTTTTAATATATTTATTAATTATAAAAACCATCAATTGATGGTTTCTGTTCCAGGTCATAATATTTATACATTTGTAAATAGAGTTATTAAAATCAAATTTTGATTTTAAATATTCTAAAATTGTCTTAATAAAAATATCTGCTTCATTTAAAAATATATTAATTAGAGTATTATTTGAACATTTTAATATAATATTTTTAGCAATAGCGCTATAAAATTTATTATCAATTTTTAACTGCAGAGATGAACAGAGCTGTAGCATGATTTTGTGAATCTTTTTTAATAAAGAATATTCTGATTGCAACTGAATATTAACTGCATGAAATAGATTTCCTACATGTGAAACTAATCCCAAATATGCTTCTGCCATTTCATATTTGAAAAATTTTTTAAAAATTTTAGGACAGCTTTTAAAATCTTTATTTAAAAAGTATTTTTTTAAGGGTTTGTAAAATTTTAAAATTCTATCGATGGCAGGTTTAATGATAACCCTGATAGGTAAATATCGCAACAACTCACACCATTCCAAGTCAGACCACTTCACAAACTATTTTAATTCATTAACTCTTTTAGTTGATGACTAAATTCGTTAAAACATTTCATCACAATTATATCGAAATTTACAGATAGTACATTTATAACCTTCTTGCAAGAATTATGTAGTATATGGCATATACAGCCAATTGGTATTAATTCATTATTGTGCTGCCTCAATTCGGTAACTTTAGTTTTTGCCAAAATTTACAGAGGCATTATCAACGCAGAAAGCTGACATGCAAATCATTGATAAACCTGAATCAGCTATATTCACCATTATGTGGCTAGCTACATCGCTTGATTTTTCACTATCCGAGGAAAATTTTTTAACAGTTTTATGGAAATGTTCATATTCTTGTTGAAATAGCGAAGGATCAAGGGAAATATTATGCATCTGTTAGAATTGAATATGGATGCCCATCTTTCAAATGGTCTAGAATTAACCTCTAGGATTCAGGTACTAAAACACTTGTGATAGCCTTGCTTATTTTTGCTCTGCCACAAGTAAGGTTTGCACTTATATTGGAGTCGTTAAATATCATGAGAAAAAGATATGACCCACATTGTGATGATATAACTCTGTGAATGTTGAACTACATGATAGATGATGTAGTTGCATCTGTATTATTTATTAATTGAGAATATTTTTGTATTGCAATCGATGTTGATATACTCCCCTGTACTGACTTTTATGAATGAAATGATGTTGATTTATTATTGGATAAAAATAAAACAGGATAGAAAGAAATTTACAACTATTCATTCGAATATTTAAAATTATTTTAAAATATAAATCATCAATTAATGTCTCTCAAAATTATTATTTATATATTAAAAATGTTAAAATATTTTTAAAAACAAATATGGTAGAAATTAAAAAATTGCGGGAGATTTTTACGGCAGATTTCCAATTGCGGTAGTTTTGCGGAAAAGAGATGTCTGCGTGTAAACTGAAAAATTGCGGGAGTCTCCCGCTGATGGGGAAAGATATGGCAACCCTGTATGTGAAGTGAATGAAATGGTAAGTGTAGGAATGTTTTAATTTGGTATGATATTATCATTAGCCCGAATAAGCTTTAATAATTTTTATTGGACAAATATTTTTTTTAAATATACTATTGGCTAAATTTGATTGACGTTTTTTGAAGATTATTATAATAGATTTAAACTTGAACTATTTATGACTATTTTTTAAAAACTTTCAATCCATCTTAGCACATGATTAAAATTTAACTTAATATCTTGAATTTGCATATTTTTATTACATCACATAATTTTTCTTTTTATTTCATTTATCACTCCTTTTAATTTATATACAACATTAATCAACCATTTCTTTCTTTTAATTTTTTTTATAACATTTTCAAAATGTTTCATATCCATAATTTTCATTTCACCATTTTTTTTAAAAAATATATTATTGTTATCACAAATTTTCTTCTTTTTTTTTCTTCACATTATAGCTAATTATAATACAAAATTTAAATATTAAACAATCTTTACTGTTCTGCATATCGTGAAATCTTAATTTCCATGACGGAATATATAATGCCATTCAATGAGTCTTAAGACTTATAAAATAATACAAAATAAAACTTACTCTCAAAATACTGGGTTTAAAAACTAAAATCAAACCATTTAACACAAAAATTATTATTACCCCTACCATATATCTCATGGTACAGAAATTATTATTACCCCAAGCACATCAAATGGTACAAAAAATATTACTACCCCAACCATATCCAATGGTTCCAAAAAAAATTCCCAAAATACACTAATATATACTATATCCAATGGTTCCCAAAAATATTTTAAAAATTTATATCAACAAATTCTAAAATAAATCTAAAAAAAACTCTTTTAAACCCATGACTTATATTAATTCACTCAATTAAAACAATTGAAAACCTTTCAAACCTTACTTTCTATCTTATTTTTTATTTGCTCAAAATTTAACTATTAATTTTAAAATTACTTATAAAAATTATTTTTTAAAATAAACACACTTTATTGAATTTCACTCCTCTCTTTTTAAAAAAATTTAACATTCATTTTAATTTTATAATTCTTTCAATATATATAAACCATTAATAGGTATAAAATACTAAACCATATAACATATTACCATATAAAATATTACTTATTTATATATCCAAAATTTTAACTTATAAATATCAAAACATTTTAACCCCTAACAAATTCTTTTCAAAACATATTCCATTTAAATTTCTCTTTTTCCTCTCTTCCCTTTTTCCCTTCCATCTATTCCAATTTTTCTCTACTTTCTTATTTATAATTTATGCATACAAATATGTTATTATTTTTTTTACCTCTTTATTTTCAAACTTTTTTAATTCTAATGGTCCATGATAGTATATTTTTATATTAATACTGCGTCAAATTTTTCCCAAGTGTATTTTCCGTGTTTGAAAAAATGGCACCATTATTTCATATGTATATCAATAAATGTATATTGTTTATTATACAAATCCAAACGACCATTTCATATCCATAAATTTATTTCCATATAATACACAATATTATATATCTTGACAGTGGCGTCGTTAGGGGGAGGGGGCCATGGGCTCGAGCCCCCTGAAAAATTTGAATAGCCCCCTGAAGCAAAAAATTTTTTTTTAATGACTTCTTAATATCCTCTTGAACTAAAAATAAATTTTCAATTGATCCCTGAACAATTTCTTTTATAATTCTATTGAGTAGTATATAGATTTAATTTTATTATTTAAAAATTAATAAGACTATCTAAATTTTTATTAAATGAACACTATTTTAATTATTAGATTGGATTAATACATATAAATTATATTTTCACTATGTCAGCTTGCGATCAAATTCTGTGTTAAAAATATATATCACTCAATAAATATTAATTTAGCATTAAAAGTTGAATCTTAATTGACTTTTTTTATTTAAATTATTATATAACCCTAATTAAATTAATATAATCATTTAAATTAACAAATTTAATTGTAATTAGCCGAATTTAACATCACTAATCAAATATATTGTTGATTTTTAAATTTCATTATCATGTCTCTTTCTAAAATTATTTTCAAGGTCCAAATCAAGTATAAGAGATTTATTTATAAAAAGTAAATAGACCTATAGTTTATAATCCTCTTTTATATATAATTATTTATAAAATATTAGGTAACCACTTTTGCAGAAGTATTTGACAGTTATATAATATAATACACTTAATATTTTTTAAATTTTACTAATCAATGCTTTTAATAATAAATATAAGTAACATTATGCATTCAACTATTTAACCCCATCTATTTATTTAAAATATTATTACAATAAAACATCTTATTATTCATCCCACAATGTATGTAATAAATCAGATATCTTTTCTTCTCTTTTTTTAGGTGTTTTTAGGAAAGCTATTTTTTTCTTCTTTGAAAAACAGTTTTGAGTTAAATTTTTAATACGAATATATTTAGATATTATTATAAACTACTATTATTTTAAGATATAATATACAAGCTAAAGATGGTGCGACAATAATATATAAAATTTTAATTGCTTTCATGATATCACTCTGGTTCTTATTTTATAGTTACAAAATGTTTCATTTCTAATATATAGTCGATGAAATTGTAAAAAATAGATACTTAATTGATTTAAAAATTAACTTTCATTTAAAATTCTCTTTCTGTTATTACCTTCCGTAAATTTAGTCACCATATTTATAATAATACAATACAATTTAAAAAATATAGACTTTATTAAACAAATATTATATATGGATTTTATAATTTTTATTTAAGCGAATTATCATAATAACTACAAAAATATTATCATTAAGAATTAAAACAATTTTAAATCTTAAATTTTAAGAATGGGTTTGGCTTTAATTGAATCTCGAGGGTTTGGGTTCTCAGTCCTCCTTATGATATAATGATTAAAAAGAAAATTTAACAGAATGAATGTTCACCAAGAGTAAAATAAATATTAAGAGGTATAAGAAAAATTAAGGAATTATTTAATACCAATTAATTTTGCAACTATATAAATGGTCAGGTTTTTAAAAATTTATATATATATCTTTCTCAATAAATAAATTAATTTTTATCTTTAATAATATGAGGCTCAATAAATAATTTTTCCAAAAATTGCATCCTTAGTTTTGATGAGATATTTTTATTAAGAGCTTCATTAAGATTAAAATCATTCGAATTAGGTTTTAAGTCATAGTAGATTCCATTCTCCTTTCTGTTGTTCATTTCATTTAGATTTAAAATAATATTTATATCTTCAACTTGACTATTCCATTCATCTATTAAGCTTAATATAATCTTTGATGAATCAGTCAGAGATCCAAAAATAGTATCATTTTGTGATTGATCTTTATCACATGATTCAGTAAACAATTTTAATTTTTTAAAGAGTGCTTTAATACACAAGTCATATTTCTGCAAAGCAATTTTTAATGATTTACTATCTCCCTTTTCTTGATATAATTTAGCCACCTCAGCTAATTTTAAAGATGCTTTAATTTCAGGATCCTGAAATATTTTATTAGATTTGGCACTTTCTTTCAAACAAGGCTGAATATTAAATTTTTGGTCAATTAAATTTTGATTTTCATGTTTTGAACTTAGGTTTTTTAATTTATTATCATGATTCTGTTTAAGATATTCTGCCTTTTCAACAATTTGATAAATAAAATTTTTCATGTTGTTTTGCCTAGTGATATCTCCAATATTTAGGAGAGGTAATAAAACATGAGCAGCATTAATATAATTAAATAATGCATCTTTATAATTATTTAATTTTTCAGATCTGATTGCTTTATCAAGCAAGTAATCAGCATTCAAAATAATGATCTTTGAATGTTCAACTGTTTGTATAAAAGAATTCAGAGATGTAAATGTAATAAATGAATGTGAAAAAAAGGATAAAAAATCTATTCGATAAACTGGATTTTTTTGTAGCAGCTTTATAAGTAAATCCAAACATGAGGGTGATATTAATGGATATTTAGGAATGATAACATTGTCTGATGATTTTATTTTTTTAAATAGTTCATTATAATTTCCTGAAGTGAAAGGAGGCTGGCCATACAAGCATTCATATAATATAACTCCTATAGACCATAAATCAGCTTTAGAATCATATAATTTATTAACTATAATTTCAGGTGCCATATATAAAAATGATCCTCGAATATTATTCACATGTGGATCATATTTTAATGATTTCGCCAAACCAAAATCTGCAATCTTTATAACAATTGGTTCTATATTAGCAGAACTATATTTACATATTTCATACTTTAATAAAATATTTGATGGCTTTAGATCAAAGTGAGATATTTTTAGTTTATATAAATATTGAAATGCATTGGCAATTTGGGATATACATTGTTGAGTAAATTTCTCTGATAATTTAATATTTACTTTGATGAATTTTGCAAGATCTCCACCTTCACATATTTCCATCATTATGTAAACAAATGTTGAGTCCCAAAAAAAATCAATCATTTTTATTATATTAGGATGATTTATCCTCTTTAATAGAGAAATTTCAGTAAAAAGGTTTTCATGAGCTGACGACAATAAAATCAATCGTTTAAGGCACTTTATTGCAAATATTTCTTTAGTTACATAATGTTGGACCCTAAAAACCTCTCCATATGATCCTGAACCTAACTTTTCTAAAAATCGAATCTCCTTTAATGGATTCAAAATATCGTTTTTATTGATAGACATACATAATAGTTATTTTGGGGATTTATATATTTACCAATTACATAATATGCCCCACACACACTTCGCCATCTATCATATGGTAATCTTTTTTGGTGAATGCTAAACGATGAAACTACATATATTAATTAGCTAAACAACAACGATTTTTTTTGAATGATATTAACAATACATCGTGGTTTCTGATTCATACAGACTCTTATAAAAACTGTTAGGATATCAATGAAGAATTAACTTAAATTATTTTTATATAATTTATTTCATGTGCGTAAACACAATATTTTATTTAAATTTTCTACTTATATTGATTATTATTATCAACACCTTATTTTTTGAATTTATCTAAATTTAATATTTTAACCAAGTTCAATATTAAAAGATTACAATAAGATATCTTTTTAATTATAATACTTTATACATATCAAAAAAATATATATCATGTCTATAGAAAATATATTTCAAAATAACAATATTTTAAAAGAAAAATAAAACTATTTAAAATAAATATATTTATGTTAAAACGGCTGGCTTAATGATCCGTGTATTATATAGTTAGATCGGCAAATTATTTCGATCGATATTCTTTATCGCAAGTTTTATTTTATGCTTATTTGATTTATTATTTAAATGAATTATTATTTTGTTATAATATTATTTTTAATATAAACCGTTAAAAAAAAAGAAAATAATATCATTTTTGTATTAATATATTTTCAATTTTACAAACTGTCCTCGTTCAATAACAATGATTTCTTGTATACATAAACATGGCAATGGCCATCCAAACCAGCGTCTACATGAGATGGGGGGGGGTTAAGGGATGTGGAAAAACAGTTTGCATACAATTTTTCTTTAGGGGGTTTAAGAGTCAGGCGCCGTTAATGTGGGTAGAATATGTAAAAAAAAAATTTGGAGGGGGGGGGGGGGAATTATTTATTAAATTTTGAAATGAAATAGGACACTGTAAAAATTAACCCTCTATTGCGCACATCATATTTGAATACACATACCATAAAAAAAGGTATAATTTTTATATAAATTTTTCTACAGTTTGTTACAAATGATGTATAATAGATATACATATATTTTATTTATGGGTGGGTCTATTTATCGCTCGGCTGAGAAATGTCGCTCGGCTAACCACATAATAAATCATTTATTATTAAATATCGCTCGGCTGAGAAATGTCGCTCGACTAATGACATAATAAATCATTTATTACTAAATATCGCCATATAGCTTCGCTATAAATAATCCTTTATTTATATATTATATTTACAATAATATTTTAAGTGAGCTTTCATTTTCTTAATATTAATTAGAAATACTAATTTTTATAAATAAAATAAGTGTTTGAACAGGTATAAAAAATTTTCTATTAGATATTTTAACTTCAATACTTTTATTAAATTTAATTTAATCATAATCTTTTTTATAAAAGTAAATAAAATATTATTCTATCCGCTAGATGGCGTCAATTACCAAAAATATAAAAATAATAAATGGGTTTATTAAATTTTTCTTAATGAGATAAATTCTAAATACTAATACAAATATTAAAATTTTATAATATTTTTAAAATTCCATTAAATTTATTCTCAAAGATTCCTTTTTGCAAATTAAACAAAAATTATTTTAAAAAAAAGTTTGGACCCTGAACCTAAATTTTAAAATAGGTTTTTTCCGCGAAATATCTTAAATAAAAAAAAACAATAAAATTGATTTCAGGAAATAAGGCTAATTCTCGGAATGAGATAAATTATTTTCAGAAAAACTTAATAAAATATATTAATTGAAATAACAGAGATAAATAATTTTCAGAAACTTAAAATAAAATATATCAATTGAAATAACAGTGACAGATGCGTCAAACAAGTTTAATTCAAAATAAAATCATTTATGACCTATCACCAATTTTTTTCTAATTCAGATACAATGGAGGATGCTTTATTAAGGTTAATATTCATTTACTCTTCAAATTTTCTTTCACTATGTGATTTATAAATTTTATTATGGTTTCTATTTTTCATTCAAATAATATAGTTTGTTAAAGGGCTTTGAACCCTCCTAAAAAAAAGTATTCGAGTTTAGGTTGCAAAATATCTCTGAAGTTCGGGTTCAGGTTAGGTGCCAAGAAAAATAAAGACTTGTAAAATTTAGTTAAAATAACAGATACATAATTTTATTTTAAATTAATCTTATTATATTTAGTTTTAGAATTCACCATAAAAATATTTATCATTCGGAGTTTTGGTGATCATCATTTTAAAAAAATAGAACTATATATTACATCCTAGGGCGATAATTTAATAAAATTGGACATTATTTACTCTATATCTTATAAATATAAACCTTTATCTACTATTTATGTATAAATAAGAAGAAATAATTTAAGAATTTTAAAAAATCTGAGCTTTTTTTCTAAATTTTAAGAGCGGGGATTAATGAATATTCTGATTAAAACGCTTATTTATAAACAGATTTTTATTACATTATCTTAAAATTATGACAATGTAAATATAGGCATCGGGGACGTTTGGGGTAATGTCGGATTAGATTGGTGAAATAATTGTGAATTGGTGTAGCCCTGACGAATCCCCAATATTTTTAGGACCAATATATTTGCATAGGCATTCTGATATGACCACATATCATATTTTTTTTTCTCATTTACATTCTGTATTTTTAAAAAATAAAATAAATATTTAAAATAACATATTTGGTAGTGACCAAGAAAAGGCTATAGTAAAACCGATTCGGAAAATATTCAAATTTAATACTCATTTAATATGCACGCGTCATTTAAAAGACAATATAAGAAAATATTTGTCGGAAAAACAAGGTGTAAATGCTGTTATGTCTAAAAAAATTATACAGGATATTTTTTCTTTTAATGGGCTTGTATTTTCCCGGAACGACCAAATATATAATGAAAAATTAATAATTTATATAATTATTGTAATAATCAAAATTTAAATATATTTTTGCCATATATAAAAAATAAATTTCAAAAAATAATATATGAACATGTTTACATTCCCCTAAAAAAAAAATAATAAATTGTTTATGGACAAATAACAACTGTGAATCTATGAATCACGTTTTAAAATCATATATAAACTGGAAACAACGTCCTTTAAAAGAATTAATCGAAAAAATTAAAGATATAACAATGTTACAAGAAAAAGAATTTGAAAGATCCTTCTCAGGAACAGGAGAATATTTTTTAAATAATGAGTATCATAACTATTTAATTCCCAAATCGATATTGTCATGATACATTAAATAATTTACTTAATAGTAAAAACAAAGATAAATTACATTCATTAGATAAAACTTTATCTGTTTTAAAACCAAAAGGCCCAAAAAAACCACATCAGTGACGTAGAATTAAAGCAGAAAGGACTCGAAAAAATAATATCAACTAAATTATATTTATCTAAGGGAATTAATGTTCTAGCTTTTTAGTTGTACAATGATAAAGTTTTATCTTTACATGATTATTAAGTGAAGTATTATATGTATCATAACAATATACTGATTGTATTAGAAATTAGGATAATAATTATTTAATAAATATTCTTCTCACTCTCTGAGATTTATCTTTTAAATTCATTCTCTTAGATCATTGTAATATCTTTAATTTTATCGTTTAATTTCTTAGGGTTTTTAAGTAAATATATTATATATAGCGAAAAATTTAATTCATTTTTACAATAGTTGCATAAATCACGTAAATTTTTTATTATGGCCATCCATTAAAATAAAAATTATGTTGTGTAATTTTTTAGACATAAATTTACAATTTTTTTTATTGGAATATTTATCGAATCGGGTTTACTCGCTTAGGGGGTCCTACACTTATATGTTTAATGCTTAATTTCTTATCGTTAATTTATTTTATTATTTCACTTCATTAATATATTTAAAATGCATTTATGAACTCACTACTTAATATTTTTTAAATTTCGTAATTATGAAAATATTTATTATAAATTTCAATTCCCTATTTTTTCTTGATTTTCGCATGCCATTCGCACATTAAAGTAACAGATATATTTCATCAATATACATAATTAGGTTTATAATATAATGAAGTGAACGTGTTGTTTATTTTTCCCGACCTTCGCCTGCCACTTTATTATATTTCTAGAATAACTAATATTATTTATTTCGTCAATATATATAATTATATGGACTTTTTTCGTCTGCGGGAAAATGGCTGATGTTAAATCGCCACCTCCAAGAAATAATGATATCTACCAATTCTACAAATACTTCTATCACTCACAATTTCATTTTCAAGCACACTAAATTCCTTAAATATTTACTTTGCGACTACACATTTTTTATGACATGAAAAGCCTGACTTCTACTCTTCTGAATCAAAACTAGTAAATTCTTTCAAATGCATGGAAGATGTTTGGGAGAGTAATGAGACTCTTTTTTAATTGCTGAGGATTATACATAACCCATAATATATCTCTGTCAAGTTATTACTTTTATTCATTAATTTTTTTATTTTTTCTAGATTCAAAGAAATAAATTCTCTTCTTTATTTACTAATTTATCTCAATCAATTCATCATAACTTAATTCTTTCTTATCTTCTCCAATTCTTTACCTAGGCTACTATTATTTATCTTTTATTTCAATTATTTATTTCCTTTAACAATTTATTTTATCTATATATTAATCTTATTAACTTAATTTAAACAAAATAATATAAATCAACATTTAATATAATTACAACATCTTTCTTAAACAAAATTTAACTTTAATCCTCTCTTAAAACTCAATTTCATAGATATTTTCTTATTCATCATTTCTCTTGTCTGCTTTTTGCTTTTTCAATTTTCCAAGTATCGTCTGCTTATTTTTTCCCCATTTTTTTTTCTAATTCAAAATTCAAATTTATCTTACAATTTACTTTAAAATTTATATTATGTCAATTTTCAAAAATCTAACAATCTACTCCTACAACATTCCTGGCCTACTTTCAAAAACAACTATACTTAGGAAACTCCTTGATCAATATGATATTAACATTATTTTAACACAAAAATCTCTTATTACCAATTATATATAAAAAAAAGAGAAAACAAAACAAAAAAGAGAAAA